CAGGGCAGGGCCCGGTGCAGGGTCAGGATATGGCAGGTGCAGGGCAGGTCCTGTGCGGGGGCAGGTCCTGGTGCAGCGTCAGGTGATGGCAGGTGCAGGGCAGGTCCTGGTGCGGGGGCAGGTCTTAGGGCAGGGGCAAGGACAAGTCCCAGGACAGAGGCAGGGGCAGGGGCAAGGACGAGTTCCTGGACAGGGGCAGGGCGGGGATCTGCAGCGTGTGCTTGCGAGTCTGCCCTCAGGCCTGGAGAGCACGCACTCCGGGAGCTCGGGCAGTGTCGGCTTCCTGCGGGTTTCCGAGACGGATGGTCTTAGTTGTGCGGTAACTGGGTACGTCTGAACCCACAGGCTGCATGCACCATGTTTCGCGAACTCAGCGGGCGTATTGGGGCAAGAGAATGGACCCGGTGACGTCTCCAAGTTCAGGTGGTCATCTCAGTTACTTAGCCAGCCGACTGGACTAAAGCTCCCTGGGGGGGGCGGACTCCCCAAGGAGCTGTCGTCGGAAAGCTTCGACCTTTGCTAATGGGGCTCAGAGACAAGCGGGTGAGAGTGGTCACCGGCCGCGTGGGTGGTGGTTCCCTTGACGGCATCGCCCCTTAGTCTAGCATCCCTAGACACACAAGAAAGGCCAATTCGATTTATCTCATTTGACACTTAATCCTGGGTCTCACTGTCCTGCTTTGCAGTTAACAAGTTTAAAGCCCCGGCTGAGCCAGAAGAGCGATGCGGGATCTCGCCGAGCCCACCCCCAGTCCCCGAGACTGAGAGCGCTGCGCAAACTCTATGAAGTTTGAGCCTCGAGGCTCTCTGTACTCGACCCCTCGGCGTGGACGCATTCCCGCGCTTTCTTGCGTGTGAGGTCAGAGGGCGCGTTGCCGCGCAGGCGCACGGAGCCGAGGCCGTGGCGGCCATGGGCGAGGCCGGGGAGACTGAGGAGGCCTGCCGGGTCAGTCAGGGGGCTCGGCGCCGCCTGCGCGTCTGAGCTGCTGCGGTTCTCTACCCCGCGCCTCAGTGGACGCTCAGGAAGGGCCTGGGCCTCGTGGGTGAACAGCGTGGCCTGGGCGGGGGTGGGGGCGGCGCGGTGGGACGGTGGGCACCGAGCGGGAGGCCACGGCTCCGGAGCCAGCGCGCCCTGTAGGCCCCTCGCTGTGCTGGGGCTCGGGTGTGCTCCGGAGGAATGCGGCTTCACGGGTGACCAGTGTCCCCTCAGTGCTCGTAGTGGCGTCACTGCAGTGACTTAGGAGGAGCTCGGACCCCAGAGCCAGATCCGTGTTCCCATCCTGCTTTGGGCCCCTGCTAATGGCGTTTCTTTGAGAAGGCCACCCATTCTTCCCAGGCCTTGGTTTCCAACCTGGACAACCTCGGAGGGCTGAGGTGAACACCACGAAATGGGATGACCAGCAAAGGGCTGGGCGCCCAGTGGGAACCCAGGAAACGTCCTTCCCTCCTGATTAGCCTGGCGCTGGAACGTTCAGGAAGATGCTGGCATTCTCTTTGGCTTTCAGGATTAGGGCTTCTCTCATGTGCACGTAAGAAAAGGGAACCTGTTCCCATCTTGAAGGCTGGGGCTCGGCTCTCAAGATATGACGTGTATAGCAGAGGGCACTTTAGGTGAAGACGTGCTTTTGAAACAATTATGAACTCAAGAGGCCCTGAAGAAAAGGAAGCAAGCTGTCCTGGGCTACGGGTTCTAGTGATCTGAAGGGAAATGTAATCTTAAAATCTGCTTGCTCTTTTAGCACGTGGGAACTAAGGAAGAATTCGTTAAAGTCAGAAAGAAGGATCTGGAACGGCTGACCACTGAGGTGATGCAAATCCAGGACTTCTTACCCAGGATACTGAATGGGGAGGTACTGGAAAGCTTCCAGAAATTAAAGATTATGGAAAAAAGTGAGTTTTACTTCATTTTTAGCAGTCATTGATGGTGACAGACATCTGTTTCAGCAGATTTACCTTATGTAAATTACTATAAAGTAATTGAAAGTAAATTCTAAGTACTGTTATAATCCTTGTAATTATTTTTGGGAGAGTCAGATAAGGCATAAGAAAGGGAGGGACCCTCAAATGGATAACTTTTTTGGACAGGTGTAAGTTTGTGTTGGAGGAAAAGTTGCCAGCTTTTAGGAATATCTGTTACCAGTTTCTCTTTCTCTCCACCTTTTTTCCTTGGCAGAAGAATTTTATTCAGTCATGCACTGAATAACGGCTTTTTGGTCAATGACGAACCACATGGACGACAGTGGTCCCATAAGATTAGTACCATGGAGCCTAGGTGTGTGGTAGGCTATACAGTCTAGGTTTGTGTAAGTGCACTCTATAACATTCACACAATGACGAAATCGCCTGAAGGTGTGTTTCTCAGAACGTACTCCTGTCGTTAAGCAACGTGTAACGGTACTTTTATAATTGAAAAGCTCTACTCCAAAAACGTATAAGTTAAGGATCTGGGCATGGGGAAACTTGCATGGAGTCGAATGTGTCTGTAGAGGTAGTTAGATGTGTTTCCTTATCTCTAGATTGATGGACGGGTCAGCTTCTAGCGCTGATTCAAGTTCAGGCTTGCTGGTTCTTGTCCATTCAGATTTTGAGATTTGAGCTGAGCCGTTATGTCAGATGTCAGTCTGGGAGCCTGTTGAAGTTCTGGGAGATATTCAGGGATTGATGGAGCACTTGCCAGTTAAATCAGCCTTTGGTGGTTAAGGCTGATTCACCACACTGCATTTAACTATTCGCCATTAACTACCGCGGGACCTCTAGAACAGGTGCGTCTAGGGGGCTCAGATCGGGTCTCTAGCACTAGTCCAGACAAAAAGGTGTCTGGAATCAGCAGTAAGATTTCTGCTTTGTATAGATGTGTCTGGTCAAGGGGGCAGCCATACACAGTTAGAAGGGAGAGTGCTTGTGGTTACCATAGCTCCCTGCCCTGTTCATTCTCTCTTTGGAATCCTCAGATGCTCTGTCCTCTGGTGTGCTCTGGGAGGTGGATTCCTGCAGACTGTGCCTCTGGCTTCCTTGCTGGCTGCCAGTACTCACCAATGGAAGGCCTCAGTGGGCGGAGAGAGAGGTTGGGATGTTTCCTCCTGCTCCCTCCACAGCGGTGTCTCCCACCAAGGGGCCTCCTCCACAGTCCCAGCTCTCACTGGGCTCTAGTAATGCTGTGTTCTCCCTTTGTAACTTCGGCTGGAGGGCTGTTGGCAGTCCCTGGGTGCCTCAGCATACCTCGTTGGGTCTCTTGTCCCTGCTCTCCCCTCTGTAAGTAGTCCTTCCCATGAAGTCTCAACATCTGGAGACTCGATGTTCGATATGCTCCATGTGATATTTGGAGACTGGAACCTTGCTGGGTATGCTCCATGTCACTGGTTACCATAGTTCCAGGTCATTGTCTTAACCTCCCTAGTTCGGATCCCGTGCTCATCCAGCAACCTTCTGAGAGCAATTGGTCATCCGCATTCGTTTATCTTCAGGGAGGGAAAGTGCTGACCAGTAGCAGAGTCAGCCTGCAGGGTGCTTATATTTCTCACTGCAAATTAATAAACTGGCATTCTGAAAAATTCATCAGGGTCTCATAAGTTGGTTAGCACAAGTCAGTCTTTGGAGCTCAATTGTCTGCCAAAATCAACTTATGGAGCTTCCAAAAGAGGGCCACAAATGAATCTATGGTGACTTGATCAACGTTAGACCGTAGGAGATCTTGCCTCGCAGTCCCTGGCCTTCCTCAGGCCGTGGAGTCTCCTCTTTTCCCACTGGTCTCTCTGGCCACTTCTCAGTCAGCTTTGCTGATTCTTCCTTCTCTGCAGCAGCCTTTCAGCCAGCGGTGTTGCTTGAGGCTCATGCCCAGGCCTCCTCTCCTCACTCCACGGCCTCTCTGTGGGCAGTCTGTGCACACACATAGCTTCAGTTACCATCTTGATGCCAGCGGCTCCTAGATTTATCTCTAACCCAGACCTCTCCTCCAGGCTTGGGGCCCTGTATCTAACTCATAGTTGGCATTTCTTCTCGCTGTTTCACAGTCTTTTCAAAATCTAAATGTTTGTCCTAGCCTAATCAACCTACAGCCATCAGGAAGGACGAGGTCAAGTTTACTGGCTCGTTGCAATGAGGAGATCACACATGAGAACGACTGTGGGCATCTTGCCAACAAAGGATAGGACGGAGTTGCTGTAGGATTGGGTGCAGGGTGCAGTTGAAGTGAAGTGCAGACGAAGCCATGTTTTGATGGGCTCCAAGCAAAGTTGGCCTTTGTGTGCAGGAGTCACCATCTCACTGCAGTGGACCCAGGTCCTGTTTCCTGGAAAACTACAAAATTTAGATAGATGTGGAACATCACGTCTAGAAATCCCTGATAGGGAGCTCTGCAGCTAGCAGGGAATTGAGGCTGCTGTTCTTTGTCACAGTGACTTCAATCCTGCAGGCAGAGTGGGGTATAATTCCTGGTATAATTCCAAACAGCAAAATGTCTGATAGTGTGGGAATTTACAGAATAAGCTTTCTCTGAATAAGAAATCAGCATTCCCTGAAAGGAAGGGGTCATTATGACACTTTACAGTTGCAGTGTGTCCTTGGGAGAAATACTGTTTCCTGTTAACTTGGCTTTATATGTGTCTGTTATCTCAGCCTAACAAATTGCAGAATAGCTTTTCACTTTCTCAGAGCAAGCGAATCTGTACGTTTTCATGACTGATTCATGATATCCATCCCTCCACCTCAGCCCAAACTTGGCTGCCTCAGTCTCCCCCAGACACCACCATCCAGACTTGAGACCTAGGATCCTCCTTGTTGCCCACCTCTCTCCTCACTGTTCACTTCCCGCCGCCCCCCCCACCCCCATCTGTCTGCTGGTAAATCCGGTACATTTCCCCTCGTGGATGCAGCCTTAACTCATCAGCCTGCCTCCTTTGCCACTGCACCACCTGAGTCCTGGCCCCTGTCATTTTGCTTGAATCTCTGCCTCCTTGCAGCGTCCACTCATTGCCACTCTCCAGTGCATTCTGTACCCTGTAGACTGAGTAATTTTGAACAATTCAGTCTTTATGTCATTCCCCTGCTTAATTAAGTCTTCAATGGCTTGCTTCTCCTTGCTCTTAGGATGAAGACTGGGAAACAAACTAAACCCCACTATCACCCAAAAACCTAAACAAAACTGTACCGTGGCTTGAAAGGCTTTATGTTATTGGACTTAGCCTCACTTTCTTATATGACTGCCTGGACAAGATCTGTCGTCCTGTTAGGTGTTGTCATAGCATCCTGCGCTTTTCCTTCAGACAAAATGGTTTTACTCCCATCTTACGGTATAAGTTGGTGGGAGGGCAGGGCCCCTGTTGATGTTCTCTGTGCCTGGCTGAATATTTGGTCCTGAGGGATCACACACCCTCCTGTCTCTGCATGCTCTTCTTTCTAAATTGCAGCAGTATCTCATGAAGCAACGTGTGCTACAGGAAGCTGAGTATTAAGAGAAAGGAGGGATCAGAGTGGACTGGGGTGGTTACAGGAGGCTTCACTGTGAACTTGAGCTGGTCCCGGAAGACTTCTGCTTCCCTGAGGGCTGGCCTAAAATATGGCCTCCTAAGACATCTTTCACTTAATTTTGGCTTTTGAATTCTTACCACTTGGGTGACATGAAAAACAAAAATTCTCTTTTTCTGTTTTTAAAGGCTGGGTCTGATGGCCCTCCCTGGGCCTTCCCAGGGGCTGTCTTCCCAGACGGATGACGTGAGCCATGGCTCTGAGAACGGGTCCTCTAGAGGCAGTCCGAGGATCACACGGTGGCAGCTACAGCTACTTCGATTTGTCTGCTCTTCCCCTGGCCTTGTGGTCCAGGAAGCTTCTTGGCTTTGGCCAGTATCAGAGCTGCATTTGCTCCTACCTTAAGCAATGACGAAGGGCAGCATGAAGGTAGGAATGAATGCAGGTAGACAGGAGGTGGGAAGGCAGGCAGGTGGAGGGAAGCTGTAGACCTCACTTGAGGGGAAGTTTCTTTTGGAGTGTAAGTATGGATATTTGGACGGCGTGGCTGGGCTCGGGCTATAAAAGCCAGCCAGAGGACTTAGGTTGATGTGATAAGTATCAAGGAGTGAATGGGAATTACTTCTGACTCTGCCATAGTAATTCCCTTTGGGAAACTGATCAGGTAACTGGTGGAGTTTGAAATAATACCGACGAGGGTCTTGCCTGAGAATCTTTAGGGAATAGATGAGCATTGAGGAGAAAGGCATGAATTATTAGAAGGAAAAGGGGAAGATGTTTTAGGCTAGGGCGATGGCATGTATGAAAGTCGCAAATGGGAGTGAGTAGGGTTGATTTCAGGTTAATAAGCTAGTTTTTCTGATTGATACGTGGAGCAAAGATTGGAATTTTGAGATCAATAAATGTGAGTTTACAGAAGACAAAATAATCATGGATTGTAGGTTTTAATTTGAGATGAGAGGCAGTTGGAAGTTACCACATGGAAATGACATCAAAATAGTGATTAACATTACATTTTCAGGGGAATAATTTTTGTATCTGAGTGTAGGACAGGTTTGAGGAATTGGGTGGAAGATGAAGGAGAATTAACAACACAGGAAAGTCTTGGACTCTGTTAGAGTATGGGCCCGTGGCTACATGGATGGAGTGGAAGGGAGTTGTGAAGAAATGATTAGTCTTGGTCAGGAGGTGAGGGCAGAGCTCAGCAGTGGAAATACGGAGATGTGGGAGTCATCTGTGTACTGCTTCTAATGAACGTCTCAGGTGTTTCCCTCTCTGTGACATGGGAACAGTAATGCTTCCCTCACAAGAGGTGGCGAGATTTAAAATGAGATCCTCTTTGGAAAGTGCTTGGCACAGTGCGCAGCTCAGGGGCGCCCTCAGCAAAGGGGACCTCCTGGGGTGGAGGGGCCACTGACCACTTGGTA